TAACACAAGGTCTCGAGATATAGAATGTGAGTTAATATCTCGTTGAAACTTAGTACTTTCTATTTACTCCACATTACATATGAGGGTTGGATAAAAAGTTGATTTAGGTTCGGTTTGTTGTGTTTTACGGTATACCAACCTCAATGGATTATTTAATGCCGACAAAGATTTTATTGCAGGTAATATTTTGTTGTGTCAAAAATCTATTTCTGGTAATAATTTTTTCTTTCAAAAATGTATTGCTGGTAATAAATTTTTCCTTCAAAAATGTATTGCTGGTAATATTTTCTTTTCAAAAAAAGTATTGCTGGTAATATTTTTTTTTCCTAAAAAATGTGTTGCTGGTAATATTTTTTTCAAAAACGTATTGTTGGTAATATATATTTTTCAAAAATATATTGCCGGTAAATGTTTTTTTTTTCCTCAAAAATTTATTGCTGATAATAATTTTTCTTTTTTATAAAATATTCCCATTTTTACCCCAGTTTCGGGGTTAACTATTTGCTTATAGCAAGACGCAAACAGGTGCTACCAACCCGCGTCAGAATGAACCTGGGAACACCAACAATTAAGAGGTGGTTCCACGCTCCTCAAAACATTCTAATCAGAGGCCTTGCTGCTGGACGTAGTTTATTGTCTTACCCAGGACGGATAAAAACCTACTAAACTGACCAAGAAAAAATACAAAATATCTGATGTTAGGTTATTTGGTCTGATTTTGAGAAATGGTTTAAATCCTTTCTTTTTTTTTTTTTTTTTTTTCTGAGAGTGTTTCTTTATATTTTTGTTAAAACATTACGTGGGATAGTCTCGTCATATCCACTGTGGATAAGTTTCAAGATGTTTATCGAATATCTGAAACCGCGGATTTTATCCGACAGACTGAGATTTTGTATCACCTCATCAGGATTATATTCACTATGGATTATTTGAGACGCGGCTATTTTGTTAAAAACTAAACCAAAACGAGGCTGTCACTTTGGACATTTCTGAGAAAGCACAAAATACCTGCCATCACGTTTCTCATTTGGTTCGCGACATGAAGACGAGAAATTTTCGACGTCGAGAAATTAGAAAGACTTAAATAAAGCCATAATTAAATTTTTGAAAGAAAACATGGTAGATTCGTGTCAGATAGGATTATGTTTTTAGTAGTTCGAAGATGTGCTTATCAAACGCGACAAGAATATGACTCACGCTATTTTTGGGAAAATTAATTGACATATTATATTAAATAATTCTAATTAATTATCCAAAAGAAAGCCGGCCGTCTGTCAACCGGCATATTGACGGAGGCGTTTAAAGAAATTATGCTGACAGTAATGTCCTTTTCTACAGAAACGCAACAGTCTCAGAAATAATCATTTAAAAAAAATCCCCATTATCTTCAATTAATTTCTCCTGAGCAGGAATATATATATATATATATATATATATATATATATATATATATATATTTGGATATTAGTAGGGATAAGGGATAATTCCAAATATATATATATATATATATATATATATATATATATATATATATATATATATATATAATATGATAAGATAAGATTTGCCCTGACAATCCGTTTATGTGAAAACCTAGGTAGGTTTTTCTGGCTCCTTAGGTTTATCTTAGGTTTGCGGTTTGCTCTACTTCGTGTATTGAGCACTTTGCTTAGTTGGTTTTACTCGTTTTGGAGTTTTTTTTTCTTTGGACTTTGAGTTCGAACTCTGGACGACTGTTTTTCGCCTTATTCTCATGTTCTTGGTTCTTTCTATTTTTTTTCCTTGGGTACTGGTTTGTTATATTACAAGTCGAAATACCTGGGTTTTTCCAAGCGAGTATCACCATTTATATATATATATATATATATATATATATATATATATATATATATATATATATATATATATATATATATGTGTGTGTGTGTGTAAGGCTAATACATTACACCATCCCTTAACTACCGCCTCGGGCATTTCGTCAGACTGAAACATCGAAAAAATTTTAATTCCGACAAGAATTCAATCTATACACCGGGGTTAAATAAGACTGACGCAGTTTTCGTCGGTTAAAATAGATCTATCCCCACAACTATATTAGCTAATTTTGAAATTTTTTTTGTAAAAATGTCAGTTTTAATATTTTTCATTACTAGGATCCACTTGAATTACAGTGGCATATGATAAGTTTTTAGTTATCCTTGATACAGAAATTTGTTTTATAAAGTCTTTTTGGGTTTTTTTTCAGACAATACCGTGTTAGTACCAAGTTACCCTCATCCATGAACATCTTGCAATGAAAGTTCGCGGAAGTAAAGAAATTCGTGAATTTCAACGAGGGCAAATAATATGATGGCAATATTGTGGCAAGTCAAATAGAGAAATTGCTAGTTTTTTCAATGTTAATCATCAAACGGTTAATAATATTGTCAATAAATATAATGAAGAAGGCCATTGTCGTGTGGAACAACGTTCAGGAAGACCAAACATCGAATCTGAGGGAAAGAAAAGGGCACTGAATAGAGAAGTCATCAGAAACCGTCGCCAGAGCGTCAAAGATGTCGCCAACAGCATGGATTTGTCGCCATATGCGGTGAGAAAGACTCTGAAAGAGCTAAGCCATCAAAGAAGAGTTTGAAGAAAGAAGCCCTCGATTTCAGAGGTTAACACGAACAGGCCTTTGGACTGGGCGAGTGAATTTGAGAGTAAAGATTATGAATTTTGGCAGTTTGTAATTTGGTGAGATGAAAGTAAATTCTGCCAATATTCGAATTCGAGACAGATTTATGTTTGGAGAAATCAGAATGAGACTTGGAACACTGAATATCTGAAGGCGACCGTGAAAGATGAAGGGATTGGAGTAATGGTGTCGGGTACTGACTTGTTTGGTGGGAAATCTGAGCTGATTCTTGTTGATGAGTGGTTTACTGGTTCAAAATATTGTCAAATATTAGAGAGAGGATTACTCTCACTATTTGAAACCAACTAGATTGACAAGAATGTCTAACTTGAGATGGAGCGCCATGTCATACGAGAAAAGTAGCAAAGGCATGGAAAGAATCGCCAGGAATCAAGTCACTGCCATGGGTACCCCAAAGTCCTGACATGAATCCAATAGAGTATTTTTGGGAGCACTTTGACCGAAGACTTCGAGAGCGTGCAACCAAAATCACGTCAGTGACAACCTTTAAAGAAACATTGTTAAAGGAGTGGCAGCATATGGATCAGACGATTGTTGATAATTGATCACATCCATGAAAAATCGAATACAGGGCCCTGAAACTAGCAAATGGATGACCTTCACCCAGTTGTGATGTGGCTTCCTTCTGTCTTTTATACAAATATTTTCATGGAAACTGCTCTGGCCAGCTTTTCGCTGATGCTCCTACTAGACGAACTTATGCGTGTTACTAGATTGGCATCTAGGTCCCACTCTTTTAGTTTCCTTGATTCCCTGAAAACTAGAATTTTCAAAAATTTAAATGCAATGTCAATCGCCATCTTCTGTTGTGTTGAACCACGTTCATATTTCCTCAATCCCTCCTATACCCAATCTTTTCTCTCACTGTCACTCTCTGTAAACCCCTGTCTGTTAATAGCATTCCCGACTTGCTTGCAGTGAAATAATTCTTGAAAATATATTTCAATTGAGCACTGTTGAGTGATAAACTAATTCTATAAACAACAGCCACCAGCGTAAATGCAAAGCTCTTCAGTAAAATGAATGGAGCCCTTCGGCTGATTGGCATTTGTTTATATTCGTAAAAATAATACACTAGATTTAGCTGCGTAACTAAATGAAGATAGCTCAGTTGTAGAAGCTCTGATTGACACCAGATCGGTTGGGTTTCGATCCTGGCATTCGGATGTCTATTAATTATATATATATATATATATAAAATTAAATTGCATATTTAAAATAAATTCACATTTTCTACATGAAGCCATCAACAAACCCGCCTCAAAACTAATCGTGACAAACAATTAACACAAGTCTACTAGGTTTAACCAGTGGTATAACACATGCGCAACCCCCCTCAAATTTAAGCTTGTTTTAATCATTTCACCCCAAATCAGGCAGAAAAGCCCCTAAGACACAAGTTGTTACTGAGTTTAAAAGAAATATAAAAACATTATTAAGAAGCGAGGACAGTAAAAGAAGAGAAATCAAGAAGACGGTAGATGACATTGCCTTTAAAGTTTTGAAGCTCACATTTGGTTCAAAGAATGGTAGACTTCATAAATATACGATATATTCTGGAGATCAAAAAATATCTATCACAGTGAACAAACATTCTTAGCAGCAGACCTAGAAATTGATTCAATATAATCTTTCTACTTTCAGCAGAGAATGTTAGCTTGAGAAGCAGCAACGAGTTACTCTCCTCGAAGGAAAAAGTTGTCTCTCAGATGAATAATAGAAAGCAGATTTGTTTTGGCGAGGTTAAAATTTACGGGCCATTATAGCTCTTTTGTATTTAACTTGAAATTTTAATTTCTTAAAATTAGGCTATGTTTTAATATATCGTTTTTGTTTTGTTTTGAAGCTTGCATCGGATGTGTGGATCAATTTACAACGTGGTCCAAACGTCTTGTCATCCCAAAATAATATAATTTTCTATTTAAGATGGGTGACACGAGCTCCTACAGTTTGAAAGAGAGGGTTAGGGTGACAATACTTTTGGTCCGCCCTGTACAATGATTTCACATAGCAACCGAAACACTCGCCATCAAATTTAGAAAAAAAAAAAATCATATGATCTGGATTGCGTGTTTGATAGCAATATGGAGAAAAAAAAATTAAAATAAAGGTATTTTTTTTTTCCTGGAGGAGTGAGTTATTCTATAAACTTTGTAATGTCGAACCTGGTAGTTAAGATGCTGCTTAACAGAGATAATATGGTGATACCAATGAAGCAGGAAAAAGACCAAAGACAGAGAAAGCGGCAGAAAAAATATGATTTTCGCCAAAAGGCGAAAACCTAGAATTCCCGCCAAGAGACTATGAGTTTCGTCTTGATAATATCTCCGGGATATGAAAATCGAAGCCTAGTCGCTGATCGTTTCGAAGAAGCCTTCAACTGAGGCGCCGTCTTGGTCGACGTTAGGTGCCAAAACCGGAAAAAAATAACAGCAAGGCGTGTGGTAGTGGAGGGGTTTCGTTCTTGAGTTATGGAGAAGTGGGGCGGAGGTGACTGCTTTAAGACTGATATGAGCATTGCCTCGAAAGGTGCTTTAAAGAAAAATCAACAGAAACGTCGGTATCACCAACATCTCGCAACGGGGATACGTGATCTAAGCGAGAGAAGACGAGAAGTCTGGCGTCTTTACCGTATTCCCACGTGTTTCGTTTCTTTATCTCATGCTCGTTGAATTATTAAAGTGATCTCATTTCAATAAAATACATGGTCACCATTAACCTGAATCTCTTAATATATTTCGATGTTATACTTAAAAAAAAGAAAAGTTAACATGTCTTTGAGAGAATTGTGTGACTAAAGAATATTCTTTTCTGACTGAAAATGATGAAAGTCCGACCAGAAGAACAAAAAGAAATTTAGTAAGAATATTTTTCCATGGAGTAAGGGGGTACATTTTAGCCTACAGTAGATTTTTATTACTAGAAACGATATTTTTAATAGGTATATGTGTTTCACTTTCTAAACCTGTACTTCACACACACCTAACTTAAGAAATTTTATTCTTATCCGTAAAGTTGTCTCTCTTTGCCTTTTCTATAAATACTTTCATGGTAATTGTTCGGATGAGCTCTTCGCTTTTAAATTGTTGTTTTATTCCCCTCCCTCGACAAACAGTGAATTGTAAATATGGCGACTAGTTAGTATTTTCATAGAGACAAAGAGGTATTATGGTGGTTGTAGTAAGAAAGGTACGTTTGAATGTGTTGTTTTGGTGTAAGGATTATTCTTCGTACGATTGGGTCAGTGTTTGCAGCTAAGTTATAGTTAAGACAGAAGAAGACCGTCCTTTTCCTAATCCCCCATTTTGGATTTTCATAGAGACAGTGAGGTATTATGTTGGATGTTGTAAGAAAGGTAAGTAAGAATGCGTTGTTTTGGTGTAAGGAATATTGTGGTATGTTTTTGTCAGTGTTTGTGGCTTGCTAAGTTTAAAGTTAAGACAGAAGAAGACTGTCCTTTTCCCCATGCCTCATTTTAGCCTTGTGCCATATTTTCTGTACATGGAAGAAATAAACACCGCTCTTCACTTTAAAATTGTTCTTTTATTCCGCTTAACCCATAGACATTGAATTGTACATATAGGGACTAGTTAGGATTTTCATAGAGACAATGAGGTATTATGTTGGATGTTGTAAGAATGTTAAGTAAGAATGCGTTGTTTTGGTGTTAGGAATATTTTGCATATTTGGGTCAGTGTTTGTTGCTAGCTAAGTTTAAAGTTAAGACAGAAGAAGACTGTCCTTTTTCCTACATTTTCTGTCATATTTTCTGTACATAGCAGAAATAAATATCGCTCTTCGCTTTTAAATTGTTCTTTTATTCCCCTCTCCACACAGACAATGAATTGTACATATGGGGAATAGTTAGAATTTTCATAGAGACAGTGAGGTATTATGGTGGATGTTGTAAGAAAGGTAAGTAAGAATGTGTTGTTTTGGTGTTAGGAATATTGTTATATATTTGGGTCAGTGTTTGTGGTTAGCTAAGACAGAAGAAGACCGTCCTTTTTCCCCATTCCCTATTTTGGCCTTGTGCCACATTTTGTATCATTTTACAAATAAATATCGTTCTTCGCTTTCCAGTTAACTTAGTTAGAGGATGTATGCTCATTTGCCTATTTTATTTCTCTCCGCATTTTTCTTTGGTTTAATTCCCCATCCCCTCCCTCGTTTGGTGGTCGGTGATGTCAGTTCTCTGGTGAATGGGGGGCGCCATTCGTTTTGTGTGTGTTTTCCATATTTGTTGTTGTGTTTGAATGAGTGTGTGTTTTTGTGAGTGCTTGAGATGAACGTATATCTTATATTATTGAAGACCCGCATTGATTTCATCCACTTAACTGACGTTTCTATCACATTTAAGGATTGTGAGGTTATTACTAAAATTATTTTGTTTAGTTTCTTGTAAATAGTTTTGTATTCATGTTGTAAATACTCATTGGGGCAAGTTTTAAACTGCTGTTTTGTTCTCCTCCCCGCTACAGACAATAAATTGTACATATGGGGTTTAGTTAGGACTGACAATGATTTGAGACAATGAGGTATTATGGTGGATGTACTAAGATAGGTAAGTAAGAATGTGTTGTTCGGGTGTAAGGAATATTGTTGTATGTTTGGGTCAGTGTTTGTGGCTAGCTCAATTTAAATTTAAGACAGAAGAAAGACCTTACACCCCCCCATTCTCCATTTTTGGCCTTGTGTCATATTTTGAAATATTACAAATAAATGTGTGCGTGAGGGTGGGTGGGGCTTATTACTTACATTATTTTGTTTACTTTCTTGTAAATAGTGTTGTAAATACACACTGGGGATAGTTTTAAATTGTTGTCTTATAGCCCTCCCCCAACAGACAATGAATTGTACCTATGGGGACTAGTTAGGATTTTCATAGAGACCATGAGGTATTATGGTGAATGTAGTAAGAAAGGTATATAAGAATGAGTTGTTTTGGTGTTAGGAATATTGTTGCATATTTGGGTCAGTGTTTGTTGCTAGCTAAGTTTAAAGTTAAGACAGAAGAAGACTGTCCTTTTTCCTATTCCCCATTTTGGCCTTGTGCCACATTTCTGTACATAGCAGAAATAAATATCGCTCTTCACTTTTAAATTGATCTTTTATTCCCCTCTCCACACAGACAAATAATTGTACATATGGGGATTAGTTAGAATTTTCATAGAGACAGTGAGGTATTATGGTGGATGTTGTAAGAAAGGTAAGTAAGAATGCGTTGTTTTGGTGTAAGGAATATTGTGGTATGTTTTGCCAGTGTTTGTGGCTTGCTAAGTTTATAGTTAAGGCAGAAGAAGACTGTCCTTTTCCCAATTCCTCATTTTGGCTTGTGCCACATTTCTGTACATAGCAGAATAAATATCGCTCTTCACTTTAAAATTGTTCTTTTATTTCTCTTAACCCATAGACATTGAATTGTATATATAGGGACTAGTTAGGATTTTCATAGAGACAATGAGGTATTATGTTGGATGTTGTAAGAATGCGTTGTTTTGGTGTAAGGAATATTGTGGTATGTTTAGGACAGTGTTTGTGGCTAGCTAAGTTTAATGTTAAGACAGAAGACCGTCCTTTTCTCAATTCCCCATTTTGGCCTTGTGCCACATTTCTGTATATAGCAAAAATAAATATCGCTCTTCGCTTTTCTATTTAAACTGCATGAATTTAAGCGCAAAACTAGACAAGCATCGAGATCTCATCAATTTACTGTTGAGCTGGCTTGATGTAGCCGCAAATTCTATGCAAACAGTTTCTTTTCTCGCTTATGGAACCTTTTACTCTTTCTTAATACATTTACCTTTAGGAAGTCATCTGTCGCCATTGCAATAATCCTTCGTATTTATGATTAATTTTTCTTTCAGAAATTAGTATGGTTGATGCTAACCTTCATGAAAGTGAATCGTTGCGCCTTCTCGTGTTAACGTTCTCTGCTGACATAAAGTGGAAAGTCTGTATTGAATCCATTGCTAGGTCAGCTGCTAAGAAAGTTGGTTCGCTGTTTTGTATGAAACGATTTTTTTCTCTCCAGAATCTATCTTACATATCTATAAGTCTATCATTTGTCCATGATTAGGATATTGCTGCTACATATGGCCCGGTGTCCCTGCTATATATCTTGGGCTCCTTGATTAGAGCCAAAGAATCTGCAATATTATTGGTCTTGATCTGACATCTCGACTACAGCCAATTTCCCAACCGCTGTAAGGTTATCTCACTTCTATAAATATTTCATGGTAATTGTTCGAACGAACTCTTCACTATACTTAAAAAAAAAAAATTAAGTGCAGTACTAGACTGGCTTCGAGATCTCATTTACACTTCATCTTGCTAGCCGTGGCCGTAAGTTCTATGCCAACAGTTCCTTTTCTCTCTCTTTCGGCTCGTGGCCCTTCACATCAGAAAAATGTATCGTTTTCTATAGAATGCCACATGATAAAACAAAAAAAGAAGAAAGAATATCTAAAACTAAAGATGCTGGCAAGAATGTATGAGTAATCTCATTATTATAAAAAATAAACAAAAATATAAACAATTTGAAACGCTAAAATATATAACTAATCAAATGCCGTGTATAGATAGTGATTTAATGCTAATTAGTTTGGTTTTGTTGGCTTTGTTTTACGGCCTATCAACCTCAATGGGTCATTTTATGCTGATAAGATTTTTTTTGCTGACATTTTTTTCCAGAAATGTATTGCTGGTAATTTTTCTTCCAAAAAGGTATTGCTGGTAATATTCATTTTTCTTTAATAATGTATTGCTGGTAATAATTATTTACAAATATGTATTGCTGGTAATATGTTTTCCACAAAAAAATTATTGCTGTACTTAAAACCTATTTTTACACGTTTATAGTAATTTGATCCCAGTTTTGGGGTTAACTATTTGCCCACAGTTGGGACCCTAACAGGTGCTACCGCCCCGGGTCTGGGTGGACCACGGAACACCAGCAATTAAGAGGTGGTTAAACCCTCCTCAAAACCTCCTGAATAGAGCCCTTGCTGCCGGATGTAGTTAACCGTCTTACCCAGGACGCGGATGAAGTTTATCGTCAGACCCAGGACGCTAATGCTAACTGTTGCAAGTGATAAGTTTTCAAGCCCAGGTAAATGTCGGAATTTCTATTGCAGCATGGCACAACACGATCACATTCCTAAATTTCTTCTTCCTTATGTACTTTGTCCTTTCAGGACATAGGCGGTCATAGCCCTGCACATCTTCCTGTCCCTTGTAGCACTTCATAGGCTTTTTTTTTATTTCTCATAAATTTACCCAAGCACTTCAAGCATGTTACGCGCCGCTTTCCTCTGTTCGTCTTTTCCACAATCTGTCCTGTGAGTATCAGATTTTCCAATCCCTCTTTCCTCATTACGTTCCTCTAAGAACCTATACTGGCAGCAAAGCGTCTGTATACGGACAGAGTCCAGAAAGATATTAAAAAAATGGAAAGAGGTGTATCTTCTGACCGGACTTATTCAACTTATATAGCGACTCTATTCTGAGAGAATTAGA